TCTTGCAAAGTTATTCTATGAATATGTAGTCTAGGGATCCCTGAGGCGGTTGTGTGCCAAATAATAACAGCCAATGAGCGGTACAAATTTCGTAAAAAAGAAAAAAAGAATTTTCCAATTGAAGATCTTTTACCAAAAAAGAAATGATCTGCGTTACACGAATTTGAAAAATCCCTGACTGGATTATAGGAAGCGCTGGTTATAATCATTTTCACTTAAATATTGTATAAAAAATAGAGTTAAACTAGCACAATTATTTATAAGGCGAAGTTTCAACAGGGTAGCTCTTTAGAGCTGAACGAACATCTTCCATATTAGTAAATATCATGCCAATTTACTTGACATCATAGTGGTTTGTTATAACTAAGTAATTTTATACAAAGAAAATGAAATTTATTAAATTTAAAAAAATTTTTTTCTTACTAATTTACAATCGATAGTTACATTTTTTATGCTAATAACGATCAAGCCACAGGCTTGAATAACATCGCAGTTATTTTGGGCACTTATATGTAATATTTTTTAAAAATTAGGTCCTTATATGTAATTATTTTATTTTGGGCCCGTATTTGTAATTATTCGACATTTCATATGGTCATGTGAATTTTTTTGCCATGATATTTTTTACATGAAATTACGTAATCAGTTTTGCAAAATATCACAGAAAAAACTTCACATGATCATATTAACTATCCAATAACAACATTATTGAACATACGTACAACAAATAACAGTCAATTTTTTTTTTCATCGGAGTTAATTTCACTCATGTGTTGCGTAGCAGCACATGGAGTGACATTAATTCCGACAAAAAAAAAAAATTGACTGTTATTTTTTGTCGTCTGTCCAATAATGCATACTTATTTTCACTTTCCGGGCCCTTATTTGTAAATTCCCCAAAAAAGTAACAATTGTAGTAACCTAGCCTCAAATTATATTACATACAAAATAATTAGTTTACCAGCTATCGATTTTCATAGTATTATTTTCACTCAGAACATTTGAATGCATTTTAAATACTTTATCCAATAGATGCGGTTCATGAGCAGCACCAATCTTCATACATTTTTTTTCTGCTAAATTTAAATAATCATTCAAGATTGGTCTATATTCAGGATGTGCACATTTATCAATGATTACACGTGCTCGCTCAATTGGAGCTAAGCCTCGAACATCTGCTAGTCCTTGTTCAGTTACGAGAATATCTAGATCGTGTTCACTAATAATTTATAAAATTTTGACATGAATATTGTAATTTATGAAGATTGGTAGTGAAAATTTAATTAATAGATGTACATACGTTTGATCGATATGCGAACACATTGGTACTATACAAGAGACGCCTAAAAAATATATATAATCATTTTAAATTGTCAAAGAAATTCATTAAATCATATTACTATAAAATCATGAATGAATATATGAATATATAAATTTATTTACCAATAGGATCTTTTTTTGTAGGCCTTGTAGATGGAGTATGTACGATACTGAGCTTTGCATTTCTTAAAAAGTCATTCGAACCACCAAGTCCATTTAACATTTTTGTCCCGCACACATGGGTTGAGTTTACGTGTCCATATATGTCAAACTATAAAATATTTTTTTTAAATCAAAAAATGTATCCGATACAGAATAAATCAAAGGAAAAAAAAATGTTACTGTACCTCAACTGGAGTATTCATGGCAATAACACCCAACCTTCTAATTATTTCAGGAGAATTACTAACACTTTGACTTCTAAGAACTAAACGATCTTTTAATTCACCCCACATTTCATAAAATCTTTTAAATCCAGCTGGTGAAAATGCCACACTTGTGGCTGAAGCGAAAGATAACTTGTGATGTTCCCAAAAATCAAGAAATGTATCTATTTTAACATTTTAGTCTGAAATCTACTATGTAATAATAATAATAATAATGTAAATTGCCGTAGTATAAAAAATAAAAAATAAAGACCTTGAATAACTTCAGTCCATACTTCAACATCAGAGAAAGGTCCATCAGCTAGACCTCCAATGATGGCATTAGCAATATTTCCGATACCAGATTGCAGAGGAAGAAGTTGCGCTGGCATTCGACCCATTTCGACTTCATGTTCAAATAAATCAAGAATATGATTGGCAATATGACGAGATGTATCATCCTAAAGAACAATATGAATAGAAAAAATTCGAAAAATGTTGAATATGATGGATGCAATAAAAAAAATTTTCTTTAAAAAAAAAGAGAAAACTTATTATTACCTGGGATTCGCTATCAGATGTATGATCAGGTTCTTTCGATTCAATAACCGCAAT